TATATATATTATAATAATAATAATAATAATAATAAGAATAATAATAATAATAATAATAATAATAATAATAATATATATATATATATATGTCGATATATATATATATATAGTAGTAATAATAATAATAATAATAATAATAATAATAATAATAATAATAATAATAATATATATATATATATATATATGTCGATATATATATATATATATATATAATTATAATAATAATAATAATAGTAATAATAATAATATATATATATATATATGTATGTATGTCGAGATATATATATATATATATGTCGATATATCGATATATCGATATATCGATATATCGATATATCGTTATATCGATATTGAGTTTTGCGTGAAGGCTTTTAGTTTGGAAGTCTCGGGTGAACTGATTTCTTGCTCGCTCGGAGCGTGGTCGTTAGTACGTTAGTAGTATGTGGTCGGAATTCCCATGCAAGGACTTTAAAACTCCGTGTTCGAGGCTCGGAGATGTGCACCAATAGCCAACAGCGACAGGGCGGCATTCTCTCGGTAAAGGTCACATCAACTCAGCAGCCGAAGGTCCGCAACCCTGGGTCCAAAAACGCTGATTCCCCAACCAGGCCCCTGATACTGTTGAGATTTGAATCCTTCCCTGCCAACCGCTGCGAGCGTCATCCCGCAACCTCCAGATAGGAAGTGGAATGCCCCAGGGGAGACACCGACTGCTAGAAGCACCACTGGGATCTGGCATGAGTGCCGTGGACGTACACAAGCCTTCGAGCTACGGTGCTGGAGCTTCAGATTGAGGTTGTAAGGCTCCGGGCTCCTCAAGCAGCACGCGGTTTGGATTTCAAACTATGGCGCTTGGCCTTACATCATGGATTTCAAGTTTCGTGTGAAACCCGTCCTTGCCAGGCTAAAGAAAACAGCTGGCAAGTCCGAGTGTAGAGCGACGCAAAGCCCCAACCGACAATGTCCGAGAGTGAGCGTGGAAACCCAACATCCCAGATCGGATGCAAATCAGAATCGTTTCAAGCGCTCCTCGCCCAGTACAGCCCTTCAACCCGAAATCCTCAACCCAACATCCGACGCCTTCGCCCCTAACCCAGGTTTTTATGCCCCAACCTTGACTCTAAAGCCGTAAGCCATCTTTAAACCGAAGACCAAAGAACCACCATATCCACGTTAAGTCTCAAACCCTTGCAGCCTGAACCCTGCAGGGAGGTTAGTTAAGGGAGCGACCCGAAAACCCGCAGCCTAAATCCCACTGTGTCGTCCGGCTGATGCTTATACAGTCAAATTTTTGTTTTGAGGAATACGGAAGGGTACCTGGTTGGGAGGAGTGCGTCAGCATACGTTTGTGTATCCGGGTCAACCCAAAGAACCAAGAAGCCTTGTGGCTGGGCCGCTAAAGTGCCTGGAATTTAGGGTTCTACCGTACTGCCTAACAACTGTTTTAGCCCGGGTCCTGCACCTGGCTAAGTTCCGTTGCCTTGCATCGACGGCAAACAGTCCGATTTCTGGTACGCCACGTTGCTGATGTCCGGGAATCTTGGCCTGCTCGGGCGTGTGTGGTCCAAGTTCTGAAGTCCAGACTGCAATGCTGGCAGAAGTTGAATTTGTTTGTAGGGTTCGGGTTTGGGGTTTGTTTCTGGGGCAGGCAAAATGCAAGCTTTCCTTGAACGGCAAAACGTAGGCAACGATTTTCGACCAGGGCGCTTGCTGTTGTTCTCTTGTCAGAGGGTAATGAAATTGCTCGGAGCCATCATCATGGTAGCGTTGTCTTTTTTGCTGAGGGCGTGGTTATCACTTTCACTGCTTTGACTTTGGTGGTTGCGGTGGGAAGAAGATGGTGGTAATCACGAGCTGGGGCGGACGACGAAGACTCAGAAGAAGTGATGATGTTTCGTTTAGTCTTCTCGCAAGCCGAGGAATGCATACCTTCCCGCAATGAAGGCCGGGGACTCCTCGCTGAGCTTCTGGTGCAAAATGAAAATTCCGCTCCAGCCTCAAAGCGCTCTAAGCGTGTATTGTGATTGCCGAAACCTAAACAGGACAGCCTTCAACCTGAAACCCGGAGCCCTTGAGGGGCTTCGTCGGCCTGAAATGGATATCGGATTTGGGGGGGTGAGGGCTAACCTTCTGCGAGGTGGTCCGTTGCTGAATAAGCCGACGCATAATTTGCTGGCAGTTCCTGGCACGGTCAGCAACATTCAATGGCTCTTGATTGCAAAGCACCGACATGTGCCAACAGAAGCCGCTTCTGCCTGCAGGTCATGGCAAGCTCGTTGAAGGCCTCACGCAGTCGTAGCAAGCTGTTGGTGATGCTTGTGACGCCCCTTCCCTGGATTCTCGCTGGGAGAGCAGCAGTACTTCGGTGTTGGAGGGTGCACATCACTGTTCTTCATAACCTGAGCTCTCAAGATGTAGTTTTTCCACTCACGGGAGCCGTGTTTTCACATGCGAAACAAATGCGAGGTGTGAGAGTAAATAAACAGGCATGCAACGACTACCATCTTGCAGTATTGCCACAGCTGTGACATCTACGACTCGCTGCTGCTGCTTGACGACGACGATTATGACCACTACGGCTAGAACTACGGCCAGTCCCATCGCTGCAGCTACTACTGCTGCTACGACGACGAC